GGGGGGGATGTGTTGGGCAAACGAGAAGAGAACATGGCTTTACTCTATCAGAATTTCTCCATTTCTTTTTTGTAGAAAAGAGGAGAGCATCTGTGTTTTTGTGTTTGAGAGGAAGAGAGGCAAAGAAAGAGAAAGTGTGGATTCACAGCCCCTCACCCCACTATGGGTATTATCTGTGAGAGCTAATGAGTGATGGATTAACCTAGGATCACCCCCTGGCAAATTGAGATGACCCCACAAACTTACCCAAAGTACCCTCCCAGGAGTCTGCATTCCACTTCACACGACCAAACAAATATACGCCAGGCTTTGGTGTTTTTTTCTCTCAAGAAAATGTCAGCTACTTAGAGCAAGGGATCTGTGTGACATAAACACAGGGTCCGTGTAGAGTTCCCCCTGTGGGATCAATTATTAGCCTAAAATAAATTAAAATAACGCCCCCGGTAGCTTACCTGATACGGGACCCATTAACTAAGGTTGTGTCCTTATCGCAGCAGCCCTCAAATCTGATCCCTCCATTCCCTTTATCTCTGGCTGTAGAATCATTAAAGGCATAAAAAACATAACAATATCATCTTTTAAAAACTGCCAATGAGAATCTTATCCTGATTTCTTTGCGTGAATCTGCAACACCACCATGTTGCAGCACGGTTAAGCCAACATGAATAATGTGCATGTGGAGCAACTTTCAAAAGCTGCTATTGAAAAATCATCCATCCAAAACCCAACAACTAACGATATCCTATACAGCGAGATCTGATTCCAGACTTTAAGCTATGCATATGTTCACTTTATCAGAGATTATACACATCAACAAAACTTTCCTCAGGTTTATGTAAATCTGTCTACTTGTGCTGACCTCTGCTGACTGAGCTCTCTTTGTGCAACAGTGTCAACATGCTCCCTGGAATTGCAGCCTCATTTAGCCAACAGGCTTCCATTCTTACAATTAAGATAAAAGGCTGACTTATGACTTCTAGCTGCCTGTATCACTGTTGGGTGTGTAGACAATCACAGGCCCACACACACACAACCAACTGTGACTTCAAGGCCTCCATGACGACTGGGAATTGTTGGCTGCCACACACAGACACATACACAGCCTCCACCGTGACTTATATGGGAAAGACAAAGAGGTTGGTGATAAATCATTGTCAGCCACATACACATACACACACACACACACACACACACACACACACACACACACACACACACACACACACACACACACACACACACACACACACACACACACACACACACACACACACACACACACACACACACTACTACTACTTACGTACTACTTACTTACTTAGTATAGTACGTACTACGTAACGAACGTTAACGTTAACGT